TTTAACTATGTCCCCAAGGGTATTAGACCAGTTTGCGTCTTACATCCGATTTGGTGTTAAGTTCTACAAATCCGTCGAACCAACGTACTGGTGAAAACTCTCTTATATAAGCACCTGGTTGTTTTACATTGCTCAAACGGATTCGATAAAGGGTACCCATTGTTTCAAGTTACTAAATAATAAACAGAAATTTCCAAAATGCTTGTATCGTAAAACAAACAGGAATACCTCAGTGGGATTTGAACCCACGTTCGGATGCCACCTACGCCTTCGAATGGCATACGCGCAACCAACTGATCTGCAGGGGTAAACCGACAGCTCTGATCGTTTCATGGGTGAGCACTCAATTAGCTGGTCTTTTTTCTTCTATAGATATTCACAATAGACCATTCCCAAAAGGTAACCCAACCCAAAATGTCAGTGAAAAGGCCAACTACATTAAGCTTGCGTTCAGAGGTGACCACATTTACAATGATGTGCACCGCAAGCTGACGTCAGCTTTAGACCGTACATTCCCAGCCGCTCAAGTCAGACTCATTGCCTACACCCGTGGAATTGATTTGGACAAACGTAAACTTGACTGGCTAAAACGGTTCCGTCTCACACACTGTAAACCAGTTCACCTGCAGTTGCGGTGACGCATACATCGGCAGAACAAACCGTCAGCTCCCACAACGGATGGCCGAACATATTCCAAAGTGGCTGGTGAAATCGATGACGCAACCCACAGTTGATGGCCCAGTGATTACAGGAAATCCAGGGTCATCTGTTGCAAAAGATCTGATGGAAACAAGACACACGGTTGACCCGAATTCGTCATTCAAACCACTATTACGTAATCGCAATGCGAAACTTTTGGCAGTTAGTGAAGCACTGCTTATTCTATTACATAACCCCACCTTGTGTGCACAGAAGCTTTTGATACAATCAATCCACTTGCCGTGGAGCTGACCTTCTACTTCTAAATTTAGTAATCTTTGTATGCTTGTTCACGTTCGTTCACCATAATTGATTAATCACATGTACTATATATGTGCCTGTTAGTTGTAAGTCAGCGACTGAGGAGATTAAACGAAATGTTAACATCTCGCGACATTTGTCTTCTTTCTGTCTTGATGAGATCTTTTTTCAGTTTTAGAGTATGAAATCGTTGATCAGTCATGTGAATTTATTTTCCGCACCTCGGTTAGCTCATAGTTCCAGTGACAGTGCTTTCTAATGTGTGAACCGATTTATCAGAGGATTAATTTGGCTTGAAATGGACCAATCGAATGCCTCCAGGATTGTGACAAAATGTAACAACTTTTACCACCTCATCGAGAAGAAACATAATTTCACAAGACTGTCCTTTTTTCTCTCTGTCTCCGTTGTACCAAATGACGGAAACAACATTTATCGCCAATTGCTCATCAAGAACTACAACCTTTCCCTCCCTCCCACTTGCTCATTTCCACTCCAACCACCGTCACCAATCCTGGTTAGTCTCAGCGTGTTCGAATGAACACTGCTGCAACTTTCAGGTTTGATGAAGGTGGTGGTTTGCGCCACTTTGAATCGTTCTCGGATTGGA